CCCCAAAACCCCAAAACCCCAAAACCCCAAAACCCCGTGATGTTATTATATAATTGTTATTATTTTGAATGGAAAAGAAGGCAGAGATTTCTCTGACTGGAGAGAATTGAAGAGGATTTCCTGAGAAGATAGAGAAAGTCACACTAGAAAATAATGTACTGCTGAAGGAGAATAATCAAGCTAGTAGATTAAGATCGCAGAGTGGTGAATTTCCTATAGTAGGAATTCTCAGGACTGTCGTAGATTATTCAACATTCACCGATCCTGAAATAACAATCGTAAAGGCTTGATATTTCACCTTGTAGAAAACTTGTTATCAAGATAAAAACATGGCAAAGCTTAGACACTCAAGAGAGACTACAGGAAGTATTTGAATTTGTTTAGATAACTCTCGTAAAAGAAGACAATTCGAGCTAGGTTTATGAGGTGGTAGTTTTACAAAATCTGGGATTAGGGAATCAATTAGAGTTTAGAATTACATTTATTCATAATTTCTAAACCTCATGCTATTAAATCCTCTTTAAGCAAAAGACATTAACTATAGAAGCCATGAGATTCAAATCTTACTTCACTCTAAGAGTGACTCAGCAGCATGATCATTACATGACAAATATCAAATCTGTGATGCCAGATATACTGAGAATCTTGCCGAGAACACTCAGACAATGAGAATTCAAAGGATGAAAGTTGTCTAAATAGACAGACACTATCCATCATAGCCAACTCCCATAATCTGCAAACTCTTTCTTTTATTCAGTGATTATTCGAGCCTCTTGAATTTAGCATTGAAAAGAAGGAGCATTATTACTGGAAGCTCCTTACTAGAGGACCATATATGATGGAGAATTTTGAATTAATTCGATGCCCTGACTCAGCCTCAGATGAACCTGATAATTCTTGGCCAAGGATAGGCTCAATTCTAGGCCTCATTTGTTGGATATCCTTATCTCAGAGTTTGACTAAATTATCCTTACATCACTGAATGCCATTAGATTGCTGCAAAAAATTGGTTCAAAAATATGACATTTTTGGAATAGAGATTGATATATTCTGCTCTATTACTCAAACCCATTCGAAATATACCTACTACGGAAATGCTTTCTCCTAAGATATATTTACACTCAACTCATTTTTCTTCGCCATCAAGTTGCTTTTCTGCCTAAGTTTTAGAGTCTCCGTACAAATCAGGTGTTTCCTTCTGGGTAATTTATACTGGAAATATTGAAGAATGGGTTTTGACTGTGCTTGGGTTGGGGTAGGGGCTGCAGGAAGCTGATAGAGGTGGGAAAGAAGGAATAGGTGGGTGAAGGAGAGGGGATGAGCGGTTGGAGGAGAAGGAAGGTGGGTGGAGAGGTAGGGAGTATGGATATGATGGATTGGGGAAATAGGTTTTGTAGGGATAAATGGTTTTAAGCACTGTTTAGGGGTGTCTTTAGGTGATATAAAGGATGCTAATTTAGATAGGAGGAATGTTGGGGTTTTGGGGTTTTGGGGTTTTGGGG